GCGGCGGGGGCCCGGACGTTCGGGGCCCGGAAGCCGAGCGCGGCGGGGCCCGGCGGGCTCGGGGCCTGCCCTGCGCGGCTGCTAGCGCGGGAAGTTCAAACCCGGGCGCTGCCTCCGAGCCCCGGGCCGGGCCGGGGTGGGGTGGGGTAAGGGGGAGAGGATCGCGCTCCCCCGGCCCTGGGCCTCCCTCCCGCATGTCCAGCCTGCAGCAAATCCGGGCAGCCGGGGCTTCCGGGAGGCCTCTCCTGGCTTCTCTCTGTTTGCCAGGAAGCCGGCTTGGAAATCTCCCACCTTCTTCTTTTCCGGGGCGCAGGTGCAGAGCAGCATGTCCGGGAAGCGCGCGGCGAGGAAGAGCCCGCTGCCCGAGGATGGCTCTCCGGAGAAGAAGAGGGTTAAAGGTAGGTCTGAAGAGTTTCCTCCGCTGTTGCAGGCCTCTGACCCCCTGTGCGGTCTTTCTCTGGGAGGAGGCGGGCTGCAGCGCTGCTTGCAAAGCCCAGGTGCGATCGTGCCCCGTGCCCCTCTGTCTGCTCCCTGACAGCTTGTGTAGACAGCCGTGGGCAGCACGGGGCAGGTCTGGCTGCAGCCCCCGGTCCCTTTCACTGGTGCCCAGCGCAGGAGGGTGGCATTGGGTGAGCCCCTCCTTCCCACGGCTTCGCAAGGCCCGTCTCGAGGTGCCGTTTCGTGACCCCACCGCCTGCGCCCTGGCTTATCGAGCCTTCCCCTTCCTTTCCTCCGGTGCAGTCTGCCACGCGTCCCACCGGACAGAGCCTGGGCTGGTGCTGACGCTGGGGCAGGGCGACGTTGGGCAGCTGGGCCTCGGGGAGGACGTGATGGAGAGGAAGCGGCCGGCCCTGGTGCAGCTGCCGGAGAAGATCATCCAGGTGGAAGCAGGAGGCATGCACACGGTCTGCCTGAGCGTGACAGGCAAGGTGAGTCCGCGGCACCTTTGCCCACGTTGGGTTGCAGTGCCGGGATGGGCTCAGTCAAAGGCCTGGGGGCTTTGTTGGGCACCCTCACTTGGAGCTGGCTTGTGTCAGAGGTTGCTGGCATAGTTGTGTTGGCACGGGGGGCAGCGGAAAGACCCCAGCAGCCCCCTCCCCCTGGCCGGCGTAGCTGGGCTGAGAGAATCCCTGACGGGAGGCAGCTTTGCCTGCAGAAACAGGCTTCTTCCAGCTGAGCTGAGGCTAGTCCAGGGGAGGGTGCTGCTGGCTGGGAGCCCTGCCTGGTGCTCTTGGCTTGAAGCAAGCAGGCTCTTCTCTGCTGCCCTGGTGAGGTCTCATACTAGCCCCCTCCTACGAGCCACCCTGGGGGGTAGCGGGGTGGGCGCGGGCATGCAGAACCAGGGTGAGTGACCCCATGGACGTGTGTGCGTCTCCATGCCCGTGGGTCGTCCACGGCGGGCTGGCTGGTAGACCTCTGGGTTGGAGCCAGGCGTCTCCTTGTGGCACTGGGCACCTTTCTCACTGCGCCACGTTTCCACGTGCAGGTGTACACCTTCGGCTGCAATGACGAGGGGGCCTTGGGACGCGACACCTCCGAGGAGGGTTTGGAGACCAGGCCGGGCCTGGTGGAGCTGGAGGAAAAGATCGTGCAGGTCTCTGCTGGCGACAGCCACACCGCAGCGCTGACGGACGACGGCCGCGTCTTCCTCTGGGGCTCCTTCCGGGTAAGCCGGCTGCCCGGGCGCTGAGAGCTTGCTGGGTCTTCCCAAGTTGGGAACTGACCCTCCTCGTGTCTCGTCTCCGCTCTCAGGACAACAACGGCGTCATCGGCCTGCTGGAGCCCATGAAGAAGAGCGTGGTGCCCATGGAGCTGCAGCTGCGGTCATCCATCATCAAGATAGTCTCAGGTGAGCCTGGTGCCTGTGCCTGGGGGATGAGCTGCTCCCACCAGGCTTGGAGTCTCCCTCGCTGCTCTTTGCCACCGGCTGTGCTGAGAATCCAGCATCCCTCCTTTGCTGCTGTTGAGCCCAGGCTTTCTTGCTGACCCCAGGCATGCAGCGCCTCTGTCCCTTGGAAGCAGGGAGCCAAGGAGGTGTGCCCAGACCACAGACAGGGGCATTGGTGACTGTTATCAGGCCCTACCAGCACAACTGTGTCAAGTCAGGATGTGAAAAGTGGGCATCTCTCTGCCTGCAGGTTCAGCATCTGGCGGGCTTGGGATCAGCCAGGTGTTCGTGGCATGCAAGGGTGAAATGCCGTTGGGCGTTAGCATTGCACGCTCAATGCAGATATGCGCCTTGGCTCTTCTGGGCTAGCTCAAAGAGGAAAGCTTCTGGCTTCTCTCTGCATAGTGAGGCTTTACTGTGGCTTTTGGAGCTGGGCACGGTCTCTGGCAGTCTCCCGGGGGTTCCCAGCAAGGTGGCTCTCCAGGGGA